CGTGGGGTCAAATTGACCCCCCGAGTGTTTTTCCGGAATGGTTTCCGAATGGCGCCGCACAGCCGCGCTCAATTCTGCATTGCTCTAGACAATTGAATAGAGGATCGTCTGGCATCGAAATTTAGATGTACTTTGTAAGGTCGCTGATCTACAGCAGATCAAAGTCAGGCCAAGGTCTCAGCCAAGGCATTTTCTTGGGAATCATTCAATCTGATCCAACAACGGAGTGTTAGACGAAGCTTACATTTCTGAGATACTTTCTTAGGCAACACAACAGTTGAATGCACAAATTACATTGACCTAGGGTCTGGTATGAAGGTCAGACCAAGCTTAAAACCAGTCTGTTTTATTGCTCTAGCGCTTGCTGTATGGGGTAGTTACTGGTGCTCATTTTGAATTTATTGATAGCAGGAACCGCGGTATACACCTTCCATAGACTTCTTAAAAATCAGAAAAGGTCACTGACCTAGAATGACCCAGGTCAACATTTTGTTTCAAGGAGCATACTGCCTGGTGTAATCTTCGTTGCTTATCCAAATGCAAAACTCAATGCTGTCTTGTATGATTTTTGTCGCCGAGACCTTCAAAAAGTCGAGCAAGGTCACTGACCTTAGATGAGCATGTGACCGTTTTGCTTGGAACAGTTATCCAGGTTCTAGGGACCATCTGGAGACCATCCTGGAATTTGACCTTCTTTGCCATTATTTGACCCGAAGATCATAATTTAGGAGCCTCAACCTTTGGCCTAAGTGAATACACGTACAGGTCAACACACTGTGAATTTTGTGTCTGTAGCTCTATTAGTTCCTGAGATCGCAGGGGGAGGGGGTAAATTGACCCGACCCGAACGAAGGGTATAAACCGCCCGCTAGGGCGCGTGTTAAGAAATGAGCCCCGTACACAGCGATTTTTTTGGAGGGGGGGGTCTAGTACCATCAAGGGGCCCTTTGTCAACTCTATGCCTCCTCCCCTTCTCCCTTGCCAAGTCTCAATCTGCGCATCTGAGCGCATCCTTTATTCCTCAGGTGCAAACGTTGTACGTTTTGGAAGACGTAACGTCGTGGCTCGGACCATCCAATATCTGATTGTCGGCAGACTTCAAAGTCCCCAACCATGAATTTTTTCTGACAGTGTGCAAAAAATAAACTCACGGTTATCTCTTACGCTAGAGGAAACAAGCACGAAAAAGTTGCACTTCACACTGAACCTGTGCTTGATTCTGTTTTATCAGTATCATCAGTCTCGCATGCCAGGAGAGGGTCTAAGAAAACCGGCATATCAGGCAGACCCGCTCGGAGTCCGAAACGGCCCCTCCGATCGCCTTAAAACCTTCATCAGTCAATTCCATGCATTGAGGTGAGTTATGTGAAGGCAGTAGCGAGGCCTGACCTGAGGGCAGACACCTCAAAAACGAGAAGCGATAATTTTACATGCAAATGCAGACAGCTCGAATCACGGCGCCTGCTGCGCCGATCGCCGCGAAATCTTTCCCATTGGATGCACCATACCGGACTCCCTCTTTCAGTTGAAAATTCGGTTAGCGTAGGTGAAGTCAAAAGTTGTCAAATTTCCCAAATTCCCGAATGTTTACCTGCAAAAAAAAAACTCATTCAGAGCATACTGCTCCGATTGTCTCCAAACGTTACCATGCAGCACTCCATTCACTCTGATTCCCTGCCGCAAATATGGTGCCATTTACGATTATATCTTTCCTTTCATGTTTATTTCCAAGAAAACGTGCATCTTTGTTAGGCCTGCCTTAGAGGTTAATGATGTTGATCGCTTGAACTGCTCCTTAGCGGGGGTGCACTGAAAGTCACTCGCTGAATTGTGCGTGGTGTCGTCGCAATTAAACGGAGTATTCCACATTTATATGGGAATTTGAACTGAAATAGCCATCTTAAAAACCATTCAGTGCTGTTTACAACCCCACCTTTCTTAAGACCTTAGCCCCTCTAGTTTTTGAGCTGCGCACCCGCGAAAATGGGGAAAGCTATATCGAGGAGAGTATTTTAGACTCACCTCGGTATTCATGAAGTTATAACATCGCCATTCAAATCCTGCCATTCCATAAGCCATGCGGCGATCAAGGCCAAGCAAGGTATTTGTCGAGGAGTTTACATCTCGCGTTCGTAAGCGCAATTTCCAGCTACAACGGCCGTGAATTGGCTCTCAGTCAATGTGCAAGGCACGATGACATAACTAAACCATGACGCATTAGGGACCATATTTACTAAACAGAGAACTGTGCTGTCCCGAGCAGTCTTTTCCAAATAAAGGTATGCCAAGACGTTGCAAGATATTTTGTAACTTCCTTGATGTTATCAAGAGTCACAACCCGAACAAGATGTCAATGCAACAAGCCTTGAACCATGTAGTCTGCAAGACTTTATCGCGGACTACGATGAATGTGCGTTGACCAGCGTAACGCAAAGAAACGTCAGACCCAAGCAATAGTCACTTCCCTGACTTCTGTTGGCCAATCGCAGGCGTAATCACAAGCTCGCAACGGCCGAAAATGTCAGAAACGAAGCTAACAAAGACGCCTTGGTTCGTAGTCTGCAATGCCAACTCATCCAACAGCGCTTGCAAGAGAATAAAACTATTGATGTCCAGACCGGTGTGGACTAGGCACTGTCTGAAGGCAGCACAGAAAAAACTGCGCATCATACACGGCCCCAGTATGCTTGTTAACGCTGCTGTCCACATTTACTTATAGCTAAGTGAGTGACAAGACAGTAGTATTAGCCTTATTCCTCGGAAAACCCAGGATAATAGAAATATAGCTAGGTTGATATTTCGGCAACATACCTTTGTCGAACCAATAGGAGAAGCGAATTATGTTCTTTTTCTCCGAGGAATAAGGCTAATAGTAGTCTTAGCTATGCGTACAATTTTGCTCGTTAATGCACTGAACAACTTACTAAATGGCTGATGCTCCATCCATAAATAGCAGAGCTTTTTCTTCCGCGGCGACACAAGGCACCGTCATCGTCAAGTCTGCGCGGCAAGGGATTGCATTTGTCTCAAGCGATCAAAGAACAGAAATTTTCAGCACTCTGATTATGAACTGCAATATTAGCTTCGCTTAATGTGACGGCCCTGGCTGCTACATGAGCAGCTGCTCCTGGCAGATTGTGGACAGCGTCTATGATCATCGTTGCGAACGGTGATGCAGCGGGTGCTCTGTTAAACATTGTTAGTTCTGTGAGTTTTATCGTTAATGACCCAGTCAGAAAGCTAGGCCTTTGCGTGCAACCATCCTCGAGTCGAGTACTAATGGCGAACGAGACCCTGTCCATGATTGTCAATGGACACCGCTGTGCGCAACGTCTTGTTCATGGAGAACCCACCAGAAGATAAAGCCCTCTGTGATGCAAAACCTGTGTAGTGATACAGTCGTGGGGCAGGATTTCGTGGAGCAGTGCGCAAGCGTGAATGTGCACTTTGGGGGTGGGTAGTGGGGGGTGACATACCATTATCGAAAGTCTGCGCTCTTGAAATTTTCTCAGCACGACCTCCTCCGTTGGCAAGGCTGTTCCCAGCTTGCAAGTCAGCCGAGGCAAAATCTGGACAGTGTAATTCTCAAGACCGCCAATTTTTCCAGTCTGAGGTGAGTAGCTTGCTTGCTGGGGGTAACATGGAACGACCCAGTGCCTCACCTTAGCGCGTTCAGGTTATGGTAGATTCGAAGGAGCCCCACAAAAAGCGTCTTGTGGTGGACTGCGTTGTCGGAAATCTTGGCGATCTGGTTCCAAAGGCTGATGAGAAGACGCTGTTGCATAGAACAAGCTCGCAATACATGCAGGTCCGTGTGTGCCCACTCTCGGATCACTGTTAGATGCATCGTGCACACGTGTCCCTGGAAGACATTGTCTGCAACGCTGTCTTCCGGACATTCAGGATACGCATAGGATGCACACGTGTGGTGCACACGTGGAGATAACCATGTGGCACGTAAGCCGCGGTCATGCATCTCGCAACGGTCTATGCGTGGGCCCTGCAGTTTACAGCCTTTGCAGGCGCGCTGGAACGGTGCCGGATTGGACAACAATCTCGGTCCCGCAATATTCCACATTTGAAGATATAAAAGCAACCAGCATATATCATAAAACAACCTCATTTTTGACTATCGGTAGAGTTGTGAGTGAGAAAGGCTGCTGTAGACAACACAATGTCTCTGTTCAGCAAATGTGTTCACTAATAAGTCGTTGTTTGATTACGATTACACACATATTTGAAACACTCTCGTTAACTCTCATGCCAGCTCAAGAAGCTGCTGTCGGAAATTGTAACATCAATGCCGCAATCAATTCCCCTGGAACAGATTTCTGCGCCAATACCTGATAATGCCTCTATGGATGCATGGTCTATCCATGAGCAGCAGTGAATGAAATGGAACAGACCTTGCTGAAGGCTTTGCCTGGGATGTCACACTAATGTTACAAGCCTGCAGCGCCACTGGTGCCCATGTGCGTTTAAAGAACCGGCCAAATGCCAAGCAATGCTAGCAATGCCAATAAAGACGCTTCGTGCTAGCAATTCAATAGCATGTGTAATAGCTGTCAGCTGTTTACTCCCTGGTCACCACCATGAAAGTAGTACATTTCAATTGACTTGGCTTTTCCGTGTGTGTCCTGTTATGTTTGCAACTCACTAAGTTCTCAAAATGTGTGTGAATTGAATGCTGCAAAAGCTTGGAGCACTCTGTTTAGACAGAAAGACTGTGACAATGCACACCTATATGTATATTGTGTGCACTAAGTAAAGGGATCTCGTATGATTTATTGCACACGCATATGAGCTGATAAGTGCATTTAAAAAATTGACTGACACTCAAACTCAATGCAAATCAAATGGAAAATATCAGTTTTATAGTGGTGAGCAGCCAGTCCAATGTCTCTCACCCGAGTTGCTACTTCACATAAACTTTTTGAGCTATTTAGACGGATTTCGAGACAAGTAATGCCACCGATCACATCGCGCACGTCTGTTCTATGTACATTGGGTCGAATCTGAATCCCAACACCGAATTTAGGGAACGAGGGAGAGGCCAATCCGTCGTGTTCGTCATCCTTGTCCCCTGTTGGCAGCTCTCCTGTGACGTCACAGTACGGTCTCAGCGAGTGAGGCCGCTGGTTGGTGGCGCAGTAAGCAGTCAGCGGCCCGGCAGGTAGAGGCTCCCCGCCCAGCTCTCAGTAAGCAGTCAGCGGCCCGGCAGGTAGAGGCTCCCCGCCCAGCTCTCAGTAAGCAGTCAGCGGCCCGGCAGGTAGAGGCTCCCTGCTCAGCTTCATGTAAGCAGTCAGCGGCCCGGCAGGTAGAGGCTCCCTGCTCAGCTTCATGTAAGCAGTCAGCGGCCCGGCAGGTAGAGGCTCCCCGCCCAGCTCTCAGTAAGCAGTCAGCGGCCCGGCAGGTAGAGGCTCCCTGCCCAGCTCTCAGTAAGCAGCCAGCGGTCTAGCAGACAGGCTCCCTGCCCAGCTCTCAGTAAGCAGCCAGCGGTCTAGCAGACAGGCTCCCTGCTCAGCTCTCAGTAAGCAGCCAGCGGTCTAGCAGACAGGCTCCCTGCTCAGCTCCCAGTAAGCAGCCAGCGGCCTAGCAGACAGGCTCCCTGCTCGGCTCTCAGTAAGCAGTCAGCGGTCTAGAAGACAGACGCTCCCTTCTCAGCTCCCAGTAAGCAGTCAGCGCCCTAGCAGGTAAAGGCTCCCTGCTCAGCTTCATGTGAGCAGTCAGCGGCAAATACCACAAAATCGACGAAAACGTCTGATGTAAGTCTGATTGTCAAGCGTGGCGAATGAAAATCGTCCACCGTAAACACGCCATCTCATTTCAGTTAATGGCCCGTTGCCGTCAAAAGGAATGTTCCGTATCGTTTGCATCTGACCAGATGATCTGGTTTCCATCCCATATTTTCCGGCATGGTGAGATGCATCCAGATGCTTCGCTCATCCTTGCGGCCTTCAAGATCCTCATAGCATATTCTCGTCTTTCTGAAGGCATCTGCAAGTTTTTGGCGTTTCTGGTGTTCGCAGTGTCATGAACCGTCATTTGCTACAGTGGCTGCAAAGACATAACGTATCAAAATGTTACTGAGTGGGCTGTGCCCGGCTGACTAGTCTGAGCTTCAGTTGGCTGACGCCGAAACTCGTGCGAACAGCGGGCCATGTTCACCAGTCATGGTTTCATGTTTCATGCGGCTGCCGCTTTCATTTGACATCTCACCCCGAGTTTTCAGCAGGTAAACCTGAACGGCTGTTTATTTACAGCCAGATTCGTCATCTACGTTGAAGACAAGAATGTACCTGTCGTAAACTTCAGCCCCGAAAACGTACTTGTGGACTGAAGTGGCGTGTGTTCACCTGACGTCCCGAAACCAACGGAGGGCTACCACGGGTAAGGGCCTGCAGCTAGAGTATGATGACAAAGACCTCAAGTCAGGATTCAACGCCAGGGCTCATCAGCAGGGTGCGGGAAATGCGAACCCCATGTGAGACATTTCAGGCGAGCACACCGGACGCTGGCGGAAAGCAACAGCATCTGCTAGAGCCGGTGCTAGAGCCACTTCAAACACATTCCGGGCCTGCTGACACAGACCCGGCACCTCCCGAGTCGTTGGCCTCAGAGTCAGAGATACACGACTCGGCGTACAGCTGGGTGGTGATGGGCGCAGTAGCGCTGCAGATGGTGCTAACCGGGGGTATCATGAAGTCCTTTGGCCTGATCATGCTGGCGCTGATGCGGGACCGTGGCCTCTCGGCAGCCCAAGCAGTCACCATACCGGGCATCTTCCTCGGCATTCAGCGCCTGGGGGCTCCGCTGGCCGCGTTGATGTGTCGCCGACTGTCCGAGAGGCATGTGGCCCTGCTCGGCAGCCTCTGCTGCACGCTAGGTCTGGGTCTGAGTGCCCTGGCCGACGTCGCTCGCGTGCTTTACCTCACCAACGGGGTTCTGTTCGGAGCTGGCCTTTGCCTCTGTATGACGTCCAGCTTGATAATACTGCAGCAGTACTTCGACAAGCGACGTGGTCTAGCCACCGGCATCATGGCAGCCTCGTTCCCCGTCGGAGGCGTAGTCTTCCCGCCTTTGATAAATCTCCTGCTGAACGAGTTCGGCATGGGTGGCACCTATCTGCTGCTCTGTGGACTGTTAATGCACATGTTCGTCTCGTCGATGCTGTACCGGCCGCCGCATACGCAGAGGATGATCATGCGATTGGACAGAAAGCGACTGCTGCGAAAGAAGTGTAAAACACCCGATACCTTATGCACGAACAAAAGCCACAGCGAGAGACAGCACCTACCCGTGAGCCAGGACATCCAGGCGGCCGTCACTGATTCGGAGCTGAGCTGTGCTGCCAACGGCAGCCCGGCGGTGGCCGTCATACTGCCACCTGCGGTCAACGGCCGCTGGGCGCAGCTGTTGCGCATGCTGGACCTGAAGCTGCTTGCCGACCCGCTCTTCTTGTCGTGCACGTTCTGGGCTTTCATGGTCTGCACTGGTTTTCCACACATGAACATGCTCCTGCCGAGCTTCGGCTCGCAAGAAATCAAAATGAGCCGCGACCGCATGGCCAATATGGTGGCCTTCATGGCGCCCATCGAGTTTGTGAGCTCGCTGGCGTTCGGCGCCGTGTTTGACCGCCGGCTCTTCCACAAGCGCTACGGCTGCATCATCACCAGCATGGTTGGAGGCACCGCTGCACTGGCGATGGTGTTCGTGCGATCGAGCGCTGGTCTGTACGTCTTTGCCGCTCTCGGGTACATGACCAGCGGCATTATACTCGTAGCGGTGCCGTTGTTGTTGGTTGAGTATTACGGTGAGGAACGAATCTCGTCAACGTCAACACTGTGTGCCGCGTTGGCGAGTCTGGCGAGCATGACGTCGATGCCCTTGGGCGGCCTGCTGCGCGAGGCGACCGGCTCACACCGTCCGGTATTTGCTGTGATCTCGGCGTGCGTGCTGAGCGGCGGTCTCTCTGTGCTGCTGCACCCCATCATCATACGTACTTGGCCTCAGCGAGCGCCGAAAGCAGCTTGACAATCTCATCATCATACGTGCTTGGCCGCAACGAGCGCCGATGGTTGCCTGACGAAAGTTTTTTGGGCGTGATTTTGGTGTGAGCCTTAATCAAACCACAACATCAGAGCAAGAATATGTATATACATATATATATATATATATATATATATATATATATATGTTTGTGTATGCGTGTGTGTGTGTGTGTGCTCTTTAATATAAACATATTATGTGCTCTTTTAAGTTGCCGGTTGAGGAATGCATGAAAGGTTGTCATTGCAAGGACGGTGTTCCCCATGAGCACCGTTGAGCCGACTGGGGTCGCTCCTACACCTGTGGTCAGCTCTGCGTCGTTTCAATACTGATACCTGGCTGCGCGCTGACCACGTATATATTCTTGACATGACAATTTCGAAATGCATTGGGCGTCACCCCCACCTAGCGTTTTCACTTTCCATGAGCTTTGTACCAAGCGTGCAACAGCACAAAGGATCTCGTGGCCAAGGTACACATTCATTGTTTACTGGCAGCCCTAGTGTAGCAGATTGACACTAAAACCGACGATTTACCCTCGTCCCGTGAGTCAAAAGGTCTGAGCAAAAGTCGATACATAATACATCAACATTCCCTAACAGATAGCTGCATTATCCCTAGACGGGCGTGTTGACGTTCCCACCCAAATTTTCCCAGGGATGTTGCTACCGCAGTCCTTGGGAGAGGTTCGCCTCTTCTGGTCGGATCTGCTCCGCTCCCCCTCCCCCTCCCCCACCGCCTCTTGCCCGGCGAAGATTATCAGTGACGCTCAAGCACTTATGATATTCCTTTACCTTTGTCGTGACTGGTACGCCTGTGAAGTGAAGTGAACTGAAGAGCTCTGACATGGTTGGCAATATTTCTTCCTGATGGACTGCATGCTCTTCGAACAGCTGTACGCGGCGGGCGCAGGCGGTTTTAGAGGAGGGGGGGGGGGGGGGGGGGTCCGGTCGCAATGCTCAGTCTATAGATTCACCGGCAGAACTACAATGAAAATGATAGGCACAAGCGACATGGAAATTGATGCACAATACTTATCTACTGTGCACTGTTACGTCAAGTGTCGTGATCCTTATGTCCCAGCCATTAAAGCGGAGACAGAAGTTGTAGGATCGGCGCCAGTGTTTTTTTTTTTCGGTAGCGCTCCAACGATAATTTCATTTGAGCACTATGTGCTGACCGTGGTCATGACGCGAGTGGACCGGTCGCTTGTGGACATCTGGAACTCCGACATCGCAGCTGCTGTTGCGACATCTCACGGGTGGTCGGCTGAGTTGTGGTCATCAACGGAGGACGGCTCGGTCTCCTAACAAAACACTGACGGGACAGGCACTGGCCAAAGCACCCGTCCAGGAGAGATGAAATTTCAGACGCGGCTGCAACATGCCAGGTTACAGGACCAAGTTGCAGATCATGGGACGGGTGCAGACCACGGGGCTAAGATGCAGGCTGCTGGGTTAGGTTGCTGGTCAATGTGTTGATTGCAGGTCAATGAGGTAGGTTGTCATAGGATCAGGTTACAGGTTACTCGGTCATGTTGCAGGTCACTCTGTCAGATTACGTGCCACTTGATTATTTTGCAGGACATGAGAACAGGTTGCAGGATTTAGAGGCGGGATGCAAGTCACGGGAGCAGGTCGAAGGTCACGGATGCAAACTGCAGGTCACGGGGCAAGGCTGCAGATCACAGGACAGGTTGCAGGTCACGAGGCAGGCTGCAGGTCACGGGGCAGGCTGCAGGCAGCCAGACATGTTCCAGGTCATGGAGGCAGGTCGCTTGTTAAAGGGGTCAGGCTGCAGGACACAGCGGCAGGCCACAGGTCATGGGACCAGTTCCCGGACACGGGGACGGGTTGCAGGTCATGGGAGAGGTTGAAGGTCGTGAGGGTGGCTGCCGATGGACATCTGGAGTCCAGGACACCACTATTACAGTATGGGGTATGGGGTACAGCAATTGGTAGAGAACAGCTTGAACTCCGGGCACCGCCGTAAGAGGCCCGATCGCAGCGCAAGGTCATCAACAGAAGGAATTTCAGCTACAGACACCGCAGAGACAGGGGAGGCCACGCGGTCAAATCAACGCTGGCCAAGCGTGCTTTGTCATCAGACAGCTCGAGTTCCCGACGTCAGTGATATGAGGTCACGGGGCAGGGCTAGCAAATGAGGACACATGAACCTTCGGTCATTGTTGCAGGCCACGCATAGTCAGCGGTGGACCACAGCGGAATTCCGGAAAACATGTGCTGGTGCGGGTCAGGGTTAGCAGACCATTGTTAGCAGACAGCTCGAGCTGCGGGCGTCAGTGACAGCAGTTTACGAAAAAAGCTGGTGGCGGGGGACTACAGGATAGATGGATCTTTGGTCATCGCTGCTATGAGACGGGCCACGCGGTTAGGTGACTGGTGCACGGTAGCTAAAGCCCAGGACACCACTCCGACAGGACAGGCCAAGTCGTTCGGCCACTTGTGGACACCTGAAGCTTCCAACATCTTAGTAAAAGGGGGGGGGGACACGCAGCCAGTTTAGGGAGATCAGGCACCAAGTGCCGCTGTCGCAGGTTGAGTCACGTGGTCAGGTCAACAGTGGAAGACAGGTGGAGGTCGGGACACTAATGTTAAAGGACCAGACACTTCATCATGTCACTGGTGGAAGACAGATGAAACACCAGACGCCGCAGTTACAAGTTAAGTGATCAGAGGAGTAAGTTGAATAGAGCGGTTAAGGGCACACCAAGCAGCTGCGCATTCAAAACCATGCCCGCCGGCATGTGGCCCGCACAGGCCTCCCGACCATCGCGGAACGCAGCTGGGAGATCGCATGCCCCTTCTCCAGGCAGTGGCAGACCCAGGCCCGCCGTGCGGTGGCGTTATTCACCCCGATGTAAGCGTCAGACCACTCTTAGTAGACAGTTCGAGCTCCAGATGCCAGTGATGACAGGCCACAGGACAGAGCCAGTAGTGGAGCGCTGGAGGATAAGTAGAACTGCGGTCTTTGTTGCAACAGGACGGACATTGTGGTCAAGCGACTGGTGAAGGGCGGCTAGAGCCCCGGATTCCACGACAAGACAGGTCATGTCGTCCGGTCACTTGTGGACATACAGTCCACAAGTCAGACCAAGTAAGCCAACCCACTCAGTTCACGTACAGGCCAACCCACTCGTGAATCTGGTGTCGATAGTCTTCCTAGCTTCTGAGATCTCAGGGCGGTCAAATTGACCCCCACCCGCGCAAAGGATATTCAACCGGCCACCCGGACGCGTGTCAACGTTAAATTGGGCACCTCTGTTCGCCACGTTTCTTGGTGAAGCCGCATGTTCGGTTGTGCTATCAAATCAATTGCAACAGGTATGTAAGCTGTGACCCTTACGTCATTTACGTCATACGTCATAAACACTATCATTTGACCACACCGCCATACGCCCACATCCTCGAAGCTAGGCTGCTCACCACTTACCGCCACTGTTTCGGAGGCTGCTCACCACTTACCGCCACTGTTTCGGAGACTTACCGCCGCTGTTCGGAACTTTCCTACTTACCGCCACTGTTTCGGAGACTGCTCAGCCAACTTGCACCGCCCGCTGTTTTCTCGGGAACTGCTCCCCCACTTACCGCCTTACGCCGCTGTTTTGCAACGGCTCCCCACTTACCGCTCATGCTCCCACTTACCGCAAGCTGTTTGCGACTGCTCCCCACTTACGCGCTGTTTGCGACTGCCCCACTTACCGCCGCGTTTCTGCTCCCCACTTACCGCCTGTTTTGCAGACTGCTCCCCACTTACCGCCGCTGTTTTCAGACTTCCGCCTGTTTCAGGCCTGCCCCCCTACCGCCGCTTTTTGCAGTTTCACTTAGTGTTTGGGCTCCCCACTTACGCCGCTGTTTCGCAGACTGCTCCCCACTTACCGCCGGTTCGCAGGCTCCCCACTTACCGCCGGTTTTTCGGAGACGTCTCAGTGTGCTGCTGATGGCGATATGGCCCGAGGGCATCTCCACCTCCAGCACGACACGATCTGATCCGCCAGAGTCCCCGATGTAGGCGAAGCACACCTCCAGGTTATACGAACTGCCTGGAGAACGGCTGGGACGAACCTCAGAAGTCATCGCCAACGAGAAGGCCGGCTTCGGCACCTGGGCACGGCGAGGTCAGCGTTAGCCTCGGCTGACCGAAATTAGGTGAGACAGTCGTGGCCACCTGCTCGTGAATGGAAGGCTAGAAACACAGCTATTTTAAGAAATGCATGACATAATCTACAGCATGGAATCTGTGGGCGCGCGGGAACCGGTATCGGGTAACAGCTATGGCACCTGAGTAAGGCGACCAGACGGTTTTTGATACGGATCAGCGTCGACAGCCGTCCAACTACAGCTCGAGAAAGGTCCGTAAAAAACGTCTGATAACATGTTGTCTGGGACGTAAGTAACTAAGACAGTATAATGTCGGCAAAACAATGTACCAGTCAATGTGCTCTGTCGATGGGAACCAATACCAAAAAGGCATTTAAGCCATTAGGCAAATAGCCATTTCTTAAGCTTAGTGTTGCTGTCAACTGTCCTTTGCTGTTCATCCAACGCCAAAACAGGATCGCCCTTTCAGGCGGACCATGAACGGCGTCGTCAGGAGTCCGTGGTGCGTGCCAGGCCACATACTCGAGCGCGGCTGGAGTAGCGGAAGCTGGTGCGGTAGATGACGCAGCCGGCCGGGCTGATGGTAAAGATGACCTCAGCTGGCAGCTGCGGACAAGATGACAGTGTCACCAGTCGACCCAAGACTGGGGGTTATGTGTCGACTCATAACACATCACCTGCATGAACTAAAACCTCGCCTCGTGCATCAGCAGAGTTTCAACCTGGAGGACCACATCGAGGGATGCGGATATTACGTGGTGTCAGGTCCATCTTTCATACGCAACGCTTATACCACATCTGAAGTTATATAACATACCAACACTTTCCAAACCGGCTCAAATCGCCGAGTTCCTCACGGTTTCTCAGCCACTCACCTCAAAATCGGCCACTTTTTCTTGTTGCAGCAGAAGTCGGTTGGACGAGTCCGCCACGAGTGTGGAAGGAGTTCCACCAGCACTGACTGTCACGCGAGTGGACAATTCCGAGGAGAAAGTACGTTTGGCAAACTCCGTTAGTGCCCGTAGCGCCACGATCGTATCCTATGCGCCAGAATGCACACGCCGTCAAATCATTGAAATATTACGACCTTCTCTGGTTGACTTCAGACGTTTAAAACTCCCTGCGCAGTGTTTTTAATGCATTTGACTGTAGCAGTCCGCTATGCTTTCTGCCGCGGAAGAGTCAAGGCATTCTCTTATTCAAACTCAAGAGAGAAAAATGTTCAGTGTCGGTCGGCAAATGTGTGGTTCAGCTCTGTGACACTTATCACGTTCATGCTCGGCCGGCCAGGTCGAATCAGTCTCTGCAATCTCATGATCGTATACCTGTATCAACGAACCGCTCCCAAGCTTTTCACAACACGATGTCACTGTCTACCTGTGTGGAGATGAAGCCGCCCAGACTGTTGCGCTGCCTGTTGATCCTTTTGACGGCTCGCGCCGCCTGCTCCATGTTCTCCTGACCCGAGAGCTGGACCAGGGAGAGCACCATGTACGCCGTCATCTCAATGTCAACCGCCCGGCTGCCGCCGTCTGTGGATCAAGAAGAGCACCATACACACCATTATGCCGATGTGCATTACCAAATGGAGTCATGGCCAGTTGTGGTCATTTCCCGGCACCCCTGAAGACACTTTCACTTACAAAATGAGCTGGCTGCGATGCAGACCATGTCTTGAATGGTGTTTCAGTCACGTTTCCGAATGGCAAAACCGAAAAATGAAGCTGTGGTCACTCACCATCACAAAAATGAGGCGGTTTTCAAAGATGAAGTCGTAGAGGTTAATTTGACGTCACTTATCATAGACATCACTAGACGTCACAATAGATGACGTCACCACCGCGTCCAAAAGTCACCGCCCTCTCAAAGAAAAGAAAGAAATAACATTGCCCTCCCACCTGGCATCACAGGCACCGTTCGCACGACAGAATGACATCATGCCGATGATCAGATCAGATCAGATCAGATCGGAAGATTCCCTAGAAATTACCTTCGCTGGAACCATAGCTTGACTTTGACCTGCTATAGGTCAACGACCTTTTAAGGTAAATCTCAATTTGTGATGTCGAACGACCCGCTATTTAAATGTCTACTGCTATGCAAAATTTGGCGCGGCTACGCCACTCCGTTCGGAAGTCATTCTGAAAAAGCCGCCAGGGGGGGGGGCAGTTTCACAGCCCCCACCCACGCGCGTGTTAAAAATGCAAGTTGTCGTGCGCGGAGTATGTGCCCGTGCGAGTTCATAGCACGCTGGGAGGGCTATCGACTGACACTCTAACAAGGTTAGAATGACGGCACGTATGCTATTCATAGAAACCTCTGGCAATACAGTTGTTGAATGCTGGTCGCCTGCCAGGAACGTAATGGAGAACATACTTTAGTGTTCTACACGCGCTTACAATCGCACAAAGATGGTTGAATCGCGCGCCTGTGGTGGCACACGTTACCACCAGATGACACTGCAAGCCAGGCCATCAGCTGGCTCCGTAATATCTTCTTTAGCGGCCGCAGACCACATTCTTAAAGCGCAGACTAAAATGCTTCAAGTGCAACGCCAGTAGTGGTTATAATCGCGCAAATTCGAGCCATGACAGGTGCACCAAGGGATCGGACATTATATTTGATAGTCCATTGCCAGTTTGCCTGGTCACCCACCACCGGGCTGAACGCAGGTCCACGGTGCTGCGGACCTGCGCCCCACTTGGGGATTACGCAAGAAGCCGACAACTCTGGACTTAACCGTACGTTCTGTTCCGTTGTGCTGCCGCCCCCCCCCCCCCCCCCCCCCCCCCCCCCCCCCCCCCAGAGTCGGCTGCCGGTACCAAGGATGAGACCCGAAACAGCTCAGCCCTGCCGCATGTGGTGTGCTTGGCAAGAGCCCTGAGGCGACCAGCCATACGCGGCAAAATCGTTGGCCTCGTGACAGACAGCCATCTAAACAGAGAAATCGATCAACGAAAGACAACCAATTTTGCATGTACTGAAGCGCACGCCTGCCAGGTGATCTTCTGTCAAACAGCAGACCGACAAACAGTGCGTGTATTAAAACGCACGCCTGCCAGCTGACCTTCCATCAAACAGCAGACTGACAAACAGTGCGTGTATTAAAGCACACGCCTGCCAGCTGATCTTCTGTCAAACAGCAGACCTACAAACAGTACGTGTATTAAAACGCACGCCCGCTAGCTGATTTTCTATTAAACAGCGGACCGACACACAGTGCTCGTATGAAAACACACGTATGCTAGCTGACCTTCTATCAAACAGCAGACCAATAAACAGTGCGTGTATTAAAACACACGCCTGCTAGCTGATCTTATATTAAACAGCAGACCGACAAGTAGTGCGTGTATTAAAACACACGACTGCCAGCTGACCTTCTATCAAACAGCAGACCGACAGACACTGCGTGTACTAAAACACACGCCTGCCAGCTGACCTATCAAACAGCAGACCGACAAACAGAATGTAGGTCTGGTACGCACATTGAACCCGCGCACGGCAATGCAAAAATGTACGTAAGCCCGAGTCAACTATCAAAACGCCATACAATTGCTACTCCCGCACGAAGCTAACTGGACGGAAATCGCGGTTGCCGTTCCCGCATCCAAGCACACACTCGTTAACCACAACATTTCTCAGTCATCGTCGCCACCTCCATTTCACATCCACCTAAATGCATCTGATGCCGAGACCGCTCTGACCGACTGACGACACCCTTCCGCGGCACTGGCACGGACGGCGATCCCGCGAGGTAGCCGCCGACACGTCTAGTTTCGGCATCGCCGGCCAGCTCCGGGCCGAGCCACGCTACACACGAGTCAGCTGCGACTCGAGTCGGTCGAGGGTGACTCTGGCTGCCAGCCCGCTGCTCTGCTGCTTCCAGCCGCCCAGCGGAGCCGGCTGGCAGCGGGGTGGCTCGCGTGTCCGCGCGTCGTACCCCACGTACACTGGTTCACATATGAGGTTACGCAAGGGGCCGCTACGCAAGTCACGCGAGCGCCCATCGCAAACAGTCACTAGCAGGACTGATCGCACGTCATGCCACGGGAGGGCACGGTCTGCGCGGCGGTCCTGTATTTCGGACACGCACCCCGAGTGCTGTCTCGAGCTCCACGGAATGCCAGACGGCCTACGCCGGCACGGTGCTGTACAGCCCGCCATCTACCGAGCCCGGCGGGAAGCCATAGCTGCCGTCACCGACTACAGAGGGCTGCCGCGACCCTGGCGGCAGAGACGGCGCCACCACCGGCGTGGGAATGGTCACCTCCTGGATGTTGTAGCGTCGCATTCGCCGCCGCCGATCGCGCGTATACCTGTCCGAAAAAATCAAGGGCACGGATGAGGCCCTGAGGCCGCTGCAGCTGCCGCCGTCGGCACAACCACACTGGCAGAACGACGTGGACGCACACGACAGTCGCAGGCCGTGTGTTTCATGCGCTACGACATGGCTACACCTCACCGCATTCGGGCAGCCGTCAGCCAGGCATAACAGCCCGGAGAATGACCCCCAGAGGTCAGCTGCGCGGGACACTTACCTGACACCGGACATTGCGCCGCACAGTATGGGCAGTCCCAGTCCAGCCGCGCCACAGTATGTATGGCCCCTGTGAAGCCCCGCTACAGTATGTATGGCCCCAGTCCAACCCCAGCACAGTTTTCACGGCCCCTGTGAAGCTCCGCTACAGTATGTGCAGCCCCAGTCCAACCCCAGCACAGTTTTCACGGCCCCCGTGAAGCTCCGCTACAGTATGTGCGGCCCCAGTCCGGCCATTCGTCGCGGCTTTTCACGTCTCCGGCGCTACAAGCACCGCAGGCCCCGACCCAGCCGTACCCGGTACTCAGCGACGGCCGGAGTCCAGCCTCTACGCTCGAGATTAAGCCCGCTCACCCCCTCACGTGCAGGGCGTCCCTGCGCACCAGCCGGGAGGCGGCCGGCGGCTTCCCAGCCCCCACATCGCACAGCCCACGCACGGACCTGCTCCAGTGCCAGGAGAGCACGGCCAGCGCCAGCAGCGTGCCGGCCAGCACCAGCAGGCCGACGGCCGTCACCAGCGCCTCGGACACGCTGAACTGGTAGCCGGAGCCGCCCGTCGGCCGCACGCAAGGCTGGCGGACAGAGGTGCCGGTCAGGCGGCGACGGCGGCGACGGCGGCGGCGCGGGGGCAGCAGATGGAGGCGACAGACGGGGACGCCGACGGGAGACCGACAGGGAGATCGACGGGGAGGGCCGACGGGGAGGGCCGACGGGGAGGGCCGACGGGATGGGCCGACGGGGAGACCGACGGGAAGGCCGACGGGGAGACCGACGGGAAGGGCCGACGGGGACGTCGACAGGAGACCGACAGGGAGACCGGCAGGGATGTCGACGGGGAGACCAAAGGGGCCGGCGTCACAACACAGGTCGTGGAGATTTCAGCTGAAATCTTCCACATGTCCTGCGCATTATCACACAGACTGAGCCTAGCTACAGAGGCACACACGAAGCTTTCATACGACCTCGAGCAATGTGACGTTTACTCCACGCGTTGTTTCTGACACTCGTCGATCGCGCGGGGGCGAAAGAACAGTCACGTAGAACTCAGTGATCGGTTTCGAGTCGGCTGCGATGCGAGAAGGCCCGGTCTGAGGCATCCAACTACCTCTATCCCTTCCACACTGTATTGTTCAAACAGCCCTGCCAGCCGCGCGTTAACGGATGAGTCCAGAAGTGCAGCCGCCTCTTCTCCCGTATAGATGTCGCCGTCAGTTACCACTTGGAAACACGACCTGCGGAGTTCGGCCAGTATGAGTGCCTTGGTAGCCGGGAGCTGGAGCCCCTGCATTAGCCTGGCCAGTGACGACACGTGCCATTGGGAGGCATCCTAAAACTGAGCAATATCACACAAAACACAAAGTACGAGTGTGTTGAGTGATCCTGTGATGGAAGTAGATGTAGTAGTGGTGGTAGTAATAGTAGTGGTAATAGTAGAAGTAGAAGTAGTAGTAGTAGTAGAAGCAGTAGCATTAAAAGCAGTAGTAGTAGTCGTAGTGCTAGTAATGAAGTAGTAATAGTAGTAGTAGTAGCAGTAGAAGTATTGGTAGTAGAAGTAGTAGTAGAAGTAGTAGTAGAATAAGAAGTTGTAGCAAACCATCACGCCAACACTCAAAACACTTGCTTAAAACAAGCACACAGATTCAAGAGCTTCCCGGCAATGACAGAATCTAAACGCGACCTCCTCTGCACGTTGGTGCCCACATTAGCGCGTCTAACTCTACGGACAGCTGCCGTTGTCGACCGCATTCAGTAAAAGGTCAGGCAACCTTTGACAATAGACCTGTCGCGAACACCGAAGTGCAAGTTTGGGGCGGACTTAAGCTCCTCCAACTGAAACCGGTTTGAAGCCCAGCTAAGCTCATTACCCTTCTTGTTGTCCTGTTGAAATCTACTCACGACACACTTGTTTCCGTCGCTTGTTTGACTTTGACCCCAAGTCAAATAATATCTCATCGGTTTTGTAAAGGAACGACCAACGCAATGACAGCACCGATTCCCAACAATACAAAGTGACAGCGCCAGTTTGATCTTATGACATTAAGAACCTGATATACTGCTGTCTCGCACACATAGCACCTCTCATCTCCACATACGTGTCTGCGTTATCACCGCCACCACATAACAGCGGGGTCCAGTGCAAATATGAACAGTAATAACATAAGCGAACGAATGTTTCCGGGAAGTCAAGGGGACGCCGGGCCTAAAAAAACAAAAACAAAAAACAAAAAACGCAAGCGCAGTGTACGACACGCCTCGTGATCCAGCCACTCGAGGTTCAGATACTCGTGGCTCCGCAGACTACCTCGAGAGGCAACCACTCTGCGCCTGGCGCCGGCCCAGAGTGTCTGCGTCCGGCGCCAGCTCACCCGGTGCTGGTGAAGTCCAGCCGTCCGTCCTGACGGCTGTAGTAGCTGGTGTCGTACAGATTGACCGTCACCGGCGCCGGCACCGCCTCCTCCACGTCCGCACGGAACCGCTCCAGCCGCTCCTTCACCTCGCCCGGAGGCCGCCGGAACACGAACTTCATCAGCTCGCTGTCCTTCAGCACGAACACCTGGCGGCGGCAGACAGCGCTGAGGGGACGCTGAGACGCCGCTGGGGGGGGGGGACGCTGAAGCGCCGTTGGGGGGCGTTGAGACGCCGCTGGAGGACGCTGAGACGCCGCTGGGGGGGGGGGGGGGGACGCTGAAGCGCCGCTGAGACGCCGCTGAGGGGACTTTAAGACGCTGGCCGGCCGGTGCCGGGCCCGCCGCCGACACCGCCGGCTTCCCTGCCCCATCCCGCCCGGTTCGGGATATGACGAGGTCCGGAACAAGCGGCCTCGCCGCTCACAATGAACGGAGGAGGGCTGACACACTGTTGGCGTCGCACCGACACGGCGGCAGCAGTGTCGCGCCCACACATAACGCAGTGACGACACGTCCTACAGGTGGCGATACAAGACCGTCCCCGCGACCCGCGGCTCCGACAGAGACGGCGCACCGGCCCGCGCCCGGCTGGCCTCGGGACGTACTGCCCAACGCCCACCGCAGTGGGCTCGCACGTCCAGGACATGTGAAAAAGTCAATTTTTTTGGGACGGTAATTGACAGCGTTTAAGGATAGTTTCAAGCTCTTGGGTTATGGACTTTTTGCAATTTCAGTCTACCAGCCAGCAATAGCTTAACTTTGAGCTAATTTTGCTTTGGCGAAGATGCGTCGGTCTCCATGACAGCTTCTTCTGAAGAGATTTGGACACTCCGACCGGCACAGTCACATGCGCCGGTTGCCGGGTGGGCAGCACGCGGCCACAGCCGTGGGGCCCATCCCTGCTGTGCCCCGACGCCGCAACCGAGCCACTGCACTGGCGGCGCTCAGCAGCCGGCTAGGCCACCGTCCTGCTCCAACGCAGACAACAGGGCTCCACATCAACGACCTGTCATCGAAGGCGGCAGATCGCTGACGTAGCCCGTCGCTGCGTGCCGGCATCGGCGTCGGACCGACGCGGCGCCGCGCGCGCCCAACTCACCCGCACGCGCGCCTCCGACCGCTTCGTCTCGTCATCGGCCTGACACGGCCGCCGCGTGGATCTCGAAGAAGCCGCCGCTGTACTTGGCCATCACCTCGTTGGTCCACACTTTGCCACTGATGTCATCGACGACGAATGAGCGCAGGCCGCTGAGCATCTCGTCGCGCTCGGCCAATCGCAGGTGCCGGCTGAACGTGATGTCATCGATGACGTAGCGGACGGGCGCCGGGTCCAGGTCCGGGTCGGCGGCTTGAAGAGTCATCACCATGGTGCGCACCGGCGTGCCGACCTTGACACCTAGACAAGGTCAGGACGCCGGGTGTCAGTGACGGTACACCGTGCTCCAATCCTGACTGAGAGTCGCATGTGTATAACCACGGGAGGCGGGGGGGGGGGGGGGGGCGGCTGAAGGTCATACCCCTCCGATTCTCAAAAATGGGATTCGTACAACTACAATGTTCCCTGTTGTGTAGACTGCATATACTTCGCTTATTCTCTTTCAAAATTTAGTTAAAAATTAGCTCGTTCCGATAGCTTAGTTTAGTAGAGGGCCTGCCTTCCGCTCCACCCACCCGTGGCAGGGTGGGTTCGGGTCGCTTTAGGCGCACGCCCTTGAGCAGCATGCCGTGCGACTGGTGGCAGCGGTGGCGCTGAAAGTCAGTTGTCGTCAGAGGGCAGGATGGACCGAGCCGAGCATTGTGGCACGTTTAGTTTTCGCCCCCAAATTCTGCCGTTGACATGGAATTGCGCGATCGGGATGGTAGGGGTCAGAGCTCACACAACAAGCACTGCTTAGCGTGAGCTCTGATCCCAGACCTTCCACTGATTCAAAAGTTTCCGTTGGATTAAGTCTTTTTCATAAAATGTCATTTTCAGGTCCCGCGATTCAGCGTGACACCTCCAATCCTCCTCCGTCCCAACAATCTCCGAGATAAGATCACACCGACGGAGAGTCATATCCCGAAAGTGAGTCATCCCACGGAGAGTCAACTGCTGTCTTGCCTAAGAAAGCATCTCGGAGATACATGGTTTCGTCTAACACTCCGTTGTTGCATCAAATTTGACAATTCCCTTGGTATTCTCTTCGCTGAATCTGTTGCCTATTTTGACCTGCCGTAGGTCAGCGACCTTACAAGGTACATCTAAGTTTTGATACCAAACGATCCACCAATCAGGTGTCTACGGCCATACAAAGTTCGGCGCAGCTACGCGCCTATGAAGCGCAGCCACGCCGGATGTCATCGCAGCGCACGAATCACCAAGCGAAGAGCAGAGATCCGCGCTGCGAGTAGCTGCCTCACCGGTGGTGACGTTGGCCTGGGCGAAGAGCGGCGGGTTGTCGTCCACGTCCAGCACCTTGATCCGCAGCTGCATCATGGCCAGGTCCTGGCGGCCGGCGGCGACGGGTCACCTTCATCTCATCATCAGCTCAGCGCCAGCACTCACGAGCGCCGACATCAGCACCGTTCAAGTGGACAGCCGCTGGTCTGGGCCGCCCCCCGCCCCCCCCCCCCCCCGACCTCCAGCAGCGACACACCCGCACGGGGTCAGTCACCACACGTTCAACGGCGGAGATTGTCCACACCGGGTGGGGTGATGGGGAGGGGGGGGGGGGGGGCAGCAGAGGGCAGCGCCGGCGTCCCGGGCTCCTCGCCTGGGGGTCGTACTGCGCCGGCGCCGGCGTCTCGGGCTCCTCAGCCTGGCAGCGCCGGCTCCTCACCTGGGGGTCGTACTGCGCCGGCGCCGGCGTCTCGGGCTCCTCAGCCTGGCAGCGCCGGCTCCTCACCTGGGGGTCGTACTGCGCCGGCGCCGGCGTCTCGGGCTCCTCAGCCTGACAGCGCCGGCTCCTCACCTGGGGGTCGTACTGCGCCGGCGCGGCGTCTCGGGCTCCCTCAGCCTGACAGCGCCGGCTCCTCACCTGGGGGTCGTACTGCGCCGGCGCCGGCGTCTCGGGCTCCTCAGCCTGACAGCGCCGGCTCCTCACCTGGGGGTCGTACTGCGCCGGCGCCGGCGTCTCGGGCTCCTCAGCCTGACAGCGCCGGCTCCTCACCTGGGGGTCGTACTGCGCCGGCGCCGGCGTCTCGGGCTCCTCAGCCTGACAGCGCCGGCTCCTCACCTGGGGGTCGTACTGCGCCGGCGCCGGCGTCTCGGGCTCCTCAGCCTGCAGCGCCGGCTCCTCACCTGGGGGTCGTACTGCGCCGGCGCCGGCGTCTCGGGCTCCTCAGCCTGACAGCGCCGGCTCCTCACCTGGGGGTCGTACTGCGCCGGCGCCGGCGTCTCGGGCTCCTCAGCCTGACAGCGCCGGCTCCTCACCGGGGGGTCGTACTGCGCCGGCGCCGGCGTCTCGGGCCCTCAGCCTGGCAGCGCCGGCTCCTCACCTGGGGGTCGTACTGCGCCGGCGCCGGCGTCTCGGGCTCCTCAGCCTGACAGCGCCGGCTCCTCACCTGGGGTCGTACTGCGCCGGCGCCGGCGTCTCGGGCTCCTCAGCCTGACAGCGCCGGCTCCTCACCTGGGGGTCGTACTGCGCCGGCGCCGGCGTCTCGGGCTCCTCAGCCTGACAGCGCACGGTCAGCAGGTAGCCGTCGCGCTGCTCACGGTCCAGCCGCGACGCCAGCACCAGCTGGCCGGCGCCTGACGCTGTGCGGTTGAAGGCGAACACGCCATCCGGATCGCCGCCTGCAACCGGTTGCCATGGTGACGGCCGACGCCGAGCACGGGACCCGGGGCGATCGAGAGGCGGGGGCTTATGGTGGCTCGCCCGTGCGTTTGTATCAGCGTGTCATGCGCCGTTTGTCACCTGCGTGTGCCGCGCGTGGGGCACGCCCCCGATGCAAGTGACGTCATGAGGAACGTGTGACGTGTAACCGATATTCTAGTGTGCTTAATGAAAACGTGGCTGGGCTTGTTTGTCACAGCATGTCACTACCAAAATTGCAAACGTCCGCTTGAATCATTGTAAGCATTTAGGCACACCAGAAGGCTGCAGTTAATGGGTCACCGGTGATTGTCTGCAATCACAACGAAAATAAGTCGCGTTTGGGCATACAGCATACAGCCCGAATTCCTTGAGCTCCTCTTCTCTAAAAGACTGCACAGTGTTTTAGGCTGACCAGACAAGAGACAGAAGAGACCACGAATCCTGTATGCAGCGTAACATACAGACCGCAATATAATAATCTTCATAATGTTCGTAAGTACGTACATCTGTCACGCGCAAATGCAATCCCGCCATGGAGCAGGTGCCAGCCGGACGCGAGGCATTTGGCGCGCTGCCAGGCCACCGGAACAATTATATAGTTACATTTGGAACCGGACCCGACGACCAGAGCGCCGCCGGCACTCCCAAGCGTGCCCCCATGGGTTCACGCGGAAACGCGGGAGTCGCAAATTGCCAAAAATCGTCGAAAAACGGGTGGTAACCAGGCCCATCGTTCGAAAAAAGGGCGGGGGGAGGGAGGCGGTACATCCGACAAAACTGGGAATGGGGAGGGGATACGGCGAAACAAGATCACATATTGCAACTCGGAAAAGGAACGGCGATTGTGCAGACAACAGTGAACGTGGATGCGCCCGGCCCCGTGCGTGCGCTGGTGAGCGAACCGTCGGGTGCACGACAGCGTGCTCCGAGTCCCTTCAACAAACAACAAACAACTCGACGGCAAACTAAAAAAAATTAGGGATGAGGGGTGTTTTTCAGGACTCACGTCAGATCTCGGCCGTCTAGGTAGATAACAAGGTGAAACTGAATGCAACGTGTAAGCGCATTCACCGCCCACAAACCATCCAGTCAGCCAACACCGACAGGCCCATGGCAACGCCAGCAATCGTTATCTCGGATGCAACACGTTTTTGTGTAACCCGGGCCAGCTGGGGCCGGTACAATTGAGACAGACTTCATGACCACTTCACGGTAACCAACATTCACCCAACATATAAACATTGTTCACAAAACACATCTGATTGCAAAAGTCGCCATATCAGTGGGTGCAAAAGGCGACGCTGCTGCTCTGACCTCCGGACGAACGCGTGACCTTATCGTCGGCGACGGGCCAATACCGGCGGCAATATTGCCATGAATGCCAATAATGGCGCGGAAGCGGCGAGCCTGCGCCGCTGGTCCCGCTCGCGGCGGATATCCAGCAGCGCAGTGGAGCGTTGTGCGGCCGGGTGTCGCGGTGAACGGGACCAAAACTGGGCTGACACAACAGCCTGCCACAACACCGGCAGTAAATATCCCCTGCGGTGCAGACGGCCACACGATGTCGGTTGTGGTCGTTGTATTAGATCAGCCTCATATATCGTGTTTGTCGCGCATCCCCGCGACGGCTGCTTACAAGAACTAACGGATGCTTCGAAGAAGAATTAAGAATTAGAAGAATTAACGGAAGAAATTTTAACTTATTATATATTATTATATATAAATTTATTTATATATAATAATATATACAATTATAATTCCATTTTAACTTGTTATATATAAATTAACTTAGAAGAATTAACGGATGCTTCGCAGCCTCGGGTCCCGACGACGCCTAACCAGAACTATTCGACTTGAATGTGTAAAGCTAATACGCTTGTAAGCGTATCCGCTTGCGTAATTGCTCACCTACCCGCTCTGGGGAGCAGCTGGCTACCCGTTGTCGAGCACAGCACATGAGGCGGATAATGCAGCGCCTGCCATAGTGGATTGTCGGAATTTCGAGCAGGGTGGCTTGAGTCAAAGCACGTCACTTCATCAGGTCAGATCAGCTACAGCAGTTGGCTCCAAGTCTTATGAGTACATTAAGCTACATGAGGTTCACAGCATGCTCCTATGCTAATCAAGGCACAGGACTAGTACCAGCTCAGACTACGAAACAATGCTCCAAACAAATTGTGCATCGCGCAAGCCTCACATGAAGACGACGCAAGCCGCTAATGATCTGGCTCGTCTAAGGAAAGCAAAGCATGAGTTTGCCTGCAGCTGAACGAGGGAAGTCGCTCTCACGTCAGGACACTATACTGTGGGGCTTGAGAGCTGGCGGGTGAGGCTGGCGCAGCTGACAGGCGCAGAGGCAGCCACACATCCTATATATATGTGCTCACATGTCACACGTGTGACGTGAGTTTACGTGGCACACGTGCGTGACGTGTGTGCTCACATAGCACACGCGTGTGACGTGTGTGCTCACGTGTCGCACGTGTGTGACGTGTGTGCTCACGTGCCATACGTGCGTGACGTGTGTGCTCACATGTCACACGTGTGTGACGTGCGTGCTCACATGGCACACGTGTGTGACGTGTGCGCTCACGTGTCGTACGTGCGTGGGGTGAGCTCACACGTCATATGTGTGTGACGTGAGCGTAGTAATGGCTGGCAATTGCTCCTTAAAGAATTCCCCGAATGCTCGTGTCCCTTAAAAACGGTGGCTCGCTGTTTCAAAAAACAAATCCTGCAAAATCAATCGAGTAGCGTAATCGGCTGGCAATTTAGAATTAATTTCTGCCATTCGTTTCGATAAAGGCATGTCGGTAAAAAACAATGCATCTATATCTCCATTATGCTGGCTTTCCTGCAAGAATTGAGGTGATTACTCCTGTCTGATCTCGCTATCTCTCTATCTCTATCTATCTATCTATCTATCTATCTATCTATCTATCTATCTATCTATCTATCTATCTATCTATCTATCTATCTACCTATCTATCTATCTATCTATCTATCTATCTATCTATCTATCTATCTATCTATCTATCTATCTATCTATCTATCTATCTATCTATCTATCTATCTATCGATATATATATATATATATATATATATATATATATATATACATGCATGGGCATAATGTTCTTCACACGTGTACTAACAGCTTACAAACACACTTACTTCGCCTTTCGGCAAAGTAGGGAATGACCCTTGGTGGTGATGTCATGGAGAAGGAATGGGCTTACTCCGAAGAAGATAGTGGGTTTTCATTGGCTAATGAGGAACAGGGCCCTGGTGTGGCCGCACTGGTGTTCGCTTCACACAACACACACAAATGCAGCCAGTCGCATGTATGTCCTTACCAGATGAAAGTCATTCACCTCCCTGAACATTTGGGCACCAAAGGCGTAAATCATTGACATTGATCGGCGTGAGATTTTTGCTGGTGTGCCGCCAGCAAATGATTGTCTCTGTTCCAGCTTCCCAGTCAGTCATCGAGGACTCCCCGACCGGCCGTCCGCCGTCCTGCGGCACCCACCTGTGATGACGTAGTGGATCTGGCCGAACCGGCCGGCGTCGCCGTCCACGGCCGTCACCGTGGTGACCACGGAGCCGACCGCTAGCTCCTCGGTGACCACCACCTCCTTGGGCCCGGCCGCCTGCAGCAGAGGCCAACACAGGGCTCCTGCAGATCGCGTTCAAGAGCGGGGGGCGAGGGAGGGCAGCGGCGGGCCCGGACACACCCTGCGTACCGCCTCTTCCGCAGGGTGGCGACCCACAAGCACATGATGGGCGTATAAGGCACTAACGAGAAAAGCGCACGTACGCAGCGTATTCCTCCATCCACTAAGTAAGTCTGCGCTATTCCAGCGGGCAGAAAGGCGTCTCGTGGCACCACGCAACGATACATACATCTGGTTCTGCTCTCCTCGCTCTCATCCCCATGCATCATGTCACAAACTACACGTACTACAGACGGCGCCTTGCCCGATCTGACCGCCCAAACGGCTCAGTAACAGCACTGCGCCTGACCGGTTGGCATGGCGCCGCGCTACATCGGCCAGCCTTTAACCGGCGCCAGAAACGCACCAGAGGCGTCCGGGCGGGCCAGCTGGCGCGATCGACTGACAGGCCAGCAGCGCGCGTCGATCAGCTTGAAGTGCTTGAATATCCACAATCCGCGCGAATTCCGACAACCGCCACCGAGCCGTCCCGTCAACACGACGCCACTATATCGCCCTCAGACCGCAGCGACGACATCGGCACCGCCGCGCCCGGCAACGGAGCCCGAGTCGTCCGCGGAAGGCCCGCCGGCCGGCCCGGTCACAAGCTAACACCACGGAAACCCGCTTCCGCCCGCTGCCCCCTGCGAGGTAGCGCAGCAAGGCTAGGCCGGCCTGACCCGTCTCGCATTCCCGCCAAAACGGCGCAAACGGCGGCGGGTGTGGCGCGGCACGCTCACCCTGTCACGGTCGAAGCGCGCCACATTGTCGTCCACGTCGCGCACGTTGACCACCAGAGCGCGGACGGCCTGCTGCGGCGGCTGGCCTTGGTCGGCCGCCTGCAGCAGGAGCGTGTGGCGCCGCTCCTGCTCCCGGTCCAGGCTCTGGCGCGTTCGGATCACTCCTGTCCGGGAGTCTGCCGGCCACGCTGCAGCCGTCAGACCAGCGGCGGCACAACAGCAGGGGCTGAACAGGGGCAACAGAAGAGCGGAAGCTGAACAGTGGGGGCGGGACAGCGGGAGCTGAACAGAGGCAACAGAAGAGCGGGAGCTGAACAGTGGGGGCGGGACAGCGGGGGCTGAACAGAGGCAACAGAAGAGCGGGGCTGAACAGTGGGGCGGGACAGCAGGGGCTGAACAGCGGGGCTAAACAGCGGGGGCTGAACAGCGGGGGCTGAACAGCGGGGGCTGAACAGCGGCAGCACAACAGCAGGGGCTGAACAGCAGGGCTGAACAGCGGCAGCAGAAGAGCGAGGGCTGAGCAGTGGGGGCGGAACAGCGGCAACAGAACAGTGGGGGCTGAACAGTGGGGGCAGAACAGCGGGGACTAAACAGCGGGGGCTGAACAGTGGGGGCTCAAAAGTGGGGTCTGAGCAATGGGGGCTGAACAGCGGGTGCTGAACAGCAGGTGCTGAACAGCGGGTGTTGAATAGCGGGGCTGACCAGCAGGGGCTGAACAGCGGCGGCACAACAGCGGGGGCTGAACAAGGAAACTAAACAGTGGGGGCTGAACAGCGGGTGCTGAACAGCGGGTGCTGAACAACGGGGTAGAGCAGCGGCCAATGGTCGTTCACTCCGCACGGGACCACAAGGCCAGGGCTGCAGCCGGCGACGGCTGGGCGGCGGCCGGCTCCCACCAGCGACGACAGGGTGACTTTTTCGTGGCGCGCGGGCGATCATAGTCGCGATAGGAATGCTACTCGCGTCTTAGCTCATCGGAGCACTCGTGCTGCCGCATCACAGCTGCTTGTGCGCATGTACAGCCGAGAAGCACGACGGTACAAACAGTGCACGCTGTTGACACACCAGCTGCAGCCAGCTGCTGCCTGACCAGCTGCCCCGCCTGACCAGCTGCCTCAACCGACCAGCTATCCCGCCTGGCCAGCTGGCCCGCCTAACCAGCTGCCCCGCCTGACCAGTTGTCCCGCCTGACCAGCTGACCCGCCTAACCAGCTGCCCCGCCTGACCAGCTGCGACCAGCTACTGTCTGATCAGCTGCCCCGCCCGACCACCTGTCCCGCCTAACCAGCTGCCCCGGCTGACCAGCTGCCCCGCCTGACCAGCTGCCCCGGCTGACCAGCTGCCCCGGCTGACCAGCTGCCCCGGCTGACCAGCTGCCCCGCCTGACCAGTTGTCCCGCCTGACCAGCTGCCCCGGCTGACCAGCTGCCCCGCCTGACCAGTTGTCCCGCCTGACCAGCTGACCCGCCTGACCAGCTGCCCCGCCTGACCAGCTGCGACCAGCTGTTGCCTGACCAGCTGCTCCGCCTGACCAGCTGAGCCGCCTGATCAGCTGTTTCGCCTGTCGTCCGCGCCGAGCAGCCGGCCGGTCCGGCCGCGGCGGATCGCTCACCGATGGCGAAGCGGCCGTCCTTGGACACCTGGCCGGAGCCCAGGAACGAGTACTTGAGGTGGCCACTCGGCGTCAGCGGGTCGTCCGGGTCTGTGGCCTGCGCGTGGAACACCAGCGCACCAGGCGGCAGGTTCTGCAAACGCGCCGGGTCTCAGCGCACGGCTGACTGGGAAGCCCGGCCGAGGCAACAGCGGACATGGTCAACGTCAACGCTCTGACGTGACGTGTGCTACAGCAGCCGGCCGTCATACGTGACGTACGCTACTATAGCCTGCCGCCAGACGCGACGTGCGCTACTGCAGCCTGCCGTCAGACGTGACGGCGCTACTAAGGCCTGCCGTCAGAAGTGGCGTGCGCTACTACATTCCGCCGTCAGACGTGACGTGCGCTACTACAGCCTGCCGCCTGACGTGACTGCACTACAGCAGTCTGCCGTCAGACGTGGCGTGCGCTACTACAGCCTGTCGTCATGCGCACGTCCAGCTACAACCGTGCGTAATGCCGGTACTGGTTCAGGTGAGGGCGGGGGTGATGAGACAACACTGCAGAGCCAGCCATCTCTGCGGTAATGCGGCACATTCAGCGTGAGGAGCTGCGTCACCAGCAGGTCACCGGCAAGGCAGGTCACCAGCATGTCACAAGCAAAGACATGGACGACGACAAGTGGTGACCTGGACCGCTGCGTGCGTCGGCAAGCGGTCATTCTCGGGACGTGCCGCTCCAGCCCCAGGAAGTGCTTCTCACAAGCTGTGTTCAGTGTTGCTATGGGCACGTCACCACACCAGCATCGCTGGCAGCTCGCCGACGGCACGCTGCCGGTGCTTCCGGTACAGATTAAGCGCTGGACATGTGCCGCGGTTGGTGACATGCTGCTGCCGACAGGGCATAATCCTGATTTACAGACTGAACCAAGTGTCAGCGTGTTGCCGCTTTGAAGCTGCCTTGATATCCTCGAGTCCGGTGCCCGTTGTGCGCACGGTGTCAGGCTAGATATGTGTTATTAAGCGCATACACGACGAGAGTTAATGTGCAATACTGCGATACCGAATGTATCGTGACTTGACATCTTTTTTAAAGATTAAATCCGAATATTTTTTGGATGGATGCATTTCTGGGATTAGAGCTCACGCTAAGCACTGATTGTTGTGTGGGCCCCGACCCCTACCATCCGATCACGCAAATCCAGGTCAAAAGCAGAATTTGGTGGCACACGTTCAATGTGCCGCAATACTCTACACGGACTGGCCTGCTCTTTAGCGCGGCCGCTGCTAGCGGTCGCATCCCATGGCTGTCAAGGGCAAATAGCGGGCGCCTAGAGTAACTCGAGCCCAACCTGCCACGGGCGGGTGGATCGGGAGGCATGCGCTCTAACCAAATGAGCCAACGGGATGGACGAAAATCAAGAAAAAGGTCAGCTATTCGCGGTCGACGAAGCACACAAATACACCTGAAGCCACACAAACACAACCAGATGACACACAAACACACCCAACGCCACGCAAACACACCAACGCCACACAAACACACTCGACACCACACAAACACACCTGACGCCGCACAAACACCTCAACGCAACACAAACACATCAGACGCCACACACACCAGACGCCACACAAACACACCAAATATACACAAACACACCAACGCCACAGAAACACACCCGACACCACACAAACACACCAGACGCCGCACAAACACACCAGACGCCACACAAACACGCCCAACGCCACACACACACACACACACACACACACACACACACCACACACACACACGACACACGCACACACACACACACACACACGCACACACACCACACACACACACACGCACACACGCACACACACACACACACACATACACACACGCACTCACACACAACCACCAGACGCCAAACACAGAACGCACCAGACGCCCGCACAAACCGCCCAGGACGCCGCACAAACACACCAGACGCCCACAAACAAACACATCAGATACACCACAACCACTACCAACGCCACACAAACACACCCGACACCACAAAAACACACCCGACGTCCACATACACACACCAGACGCCATACAAACACACCAACGCCACACAAACACACCCGACCACCACACACACCACCAGACGCCGCCACAACCACATCGATGTCCACACAAAAACACACCAGACGGCCGCACAAACACGCCAACGCCCACACAAACATACCACCGCAGCACAAACACATCCGACGCCACTAACAAAAGACACCAGACGCTACACAGACACGCCTGATGCCACACAACACACCAGACGTCACACAAATACACGTTGAACGCAAAACGAAGGAACGCCACTCAGGCAAAAACATCCCAACTACTGCTTAAGCTCCTTAAAGAGACCGCTCCTACAATCTATAGGTCAAATCACTATAATCATCAGCAACACTTAAGGCATAGCGGCTGGCGCGGTTAGCTCCCATCTCTGACATCACCAGCAGCCAATGGCCAGCGCCTTTTGTTCCGACCAATAGCGGCGCTCGTACCTCCAGCACGCCGACCTCTTCCTCCGGCGTCGGCCGAACAAAGCGCGGTATGCCGTCGTTGCTGCTGACGTCGCCGATATACACCTCTAGCGTGACGTCACTCAGCAGCGGATCTTCGCCCTGGTCCTGGGAAGCGGCCGGCACGGTGACGTCACGAGGTTCACCCGAGGCGTGACGTCACTCAGCAACGCTGCTCGCCCTGGCTCTGGAGAACCCTGACATCGCACGCACAAGCCTGACGCAGCGTGTCAAGTCATGGCCAGCCACGCTGCCAACACCATAAACCACCACGGCGCAGCCACGACCGGCCCGACCTGACGCCACGTGGCCTGACCTGACCCGACCTCTGCCACTGACCTGGGCGCGGACGGTGAGGCGGTAGGGCGCGGTGCGCCCCTTGCCAGACAGGTCACCCGACACCGTCAGCTCGCCAGTCTCCGGCTCCAGCGTGAATAGACCTGCAACGCACCGGTCCCGCACCGGTCAGGCAGCAGTGAGGGACTCCCCGCCGTCGCCGCGTGGACAGGCGGCGGTGAGAGACACCCCCCGCCCCGCCGCCATGGCACGGCCGTGAGAGCCGCACGCTTGGCACGGCACGGTGAACTCGCCCCGCCGCCGCCGCGTTGCAACGGGCGCGGTGAGAGACTCTCCGCCACCGCCGCATGGCTACGGGCAGCGGTGAAGACTCGCCGCCGCCGCCGCCGTGCAGAGGGGACTCTCCGCCACCGCCGCAGGCACGGGCAGCGGTGAGAGACTCGCCGCCGCCGCCGCCGCGTGGCACGGGCAGCGTGAGGACCCGCGCCGCCGCGGTGGCACGGCAGAGTGAGAGACTCGGCCGCCGCCGCCGCCGCGTGGCACGGGCAGGGTGAGAGACTCGCCGCCGGCCGCCGCAGCTGGTCACGGGCAGCGGTGAGAGACTCGCGCCGCCGCCTGCCGGGCCGAGAGTTGCGACGGGCCGGAGAAGACCTCCGGCTGGCGTGGCACAGGCAGCAGTGAAGGACTCCGCCGCCGCCCGCCCGCGTGGCACGGGCAGCAGTGGGTACTGTGCGGCGTCCGTTGGTACCGTCCCGACCTGCGGGATCTTCAACCGTGCCGCCAGATTCGTCGACATGTGCGACTTGCTGGGTCTGAAACAGTGGGTCCACCAATCCACTAGAGGAGAGAACGTTCTGAACCCAGTACTGTCCCGACGCATACCGTCACAGGTCGAAGTGCAAGGAGCTCTTCTGAGCTCAGATCACAAAGAGACCATTGCCACCCTCAGTGAGCCGGTGAATCGGCGCACTGCGTTTAGCTATAAGAAAGCTGACTTCGACGACCTGCGCCGAAGTCTCTCCCTGATCCCGTGGGGGTTGCTGGATGACGTCGGAGTTGACCAAGCAAGGGGCACCTCCCACACACTGCTTGTGTCGGCCATCGCCGACCACGTCCCCACAGTGACTCTTCAGCATCCATTGCCCCCTTGTTCGACGGTGCGGTGCGAGCTGCTTTCCGGCTGAAAGAGGCAGCTTTCCGACGTCTGCCTAGAAACCCCGGCGCGGTGACCGCGGCCGAGTTCGCGGACGGGAGACGTTATTTTGATACCGTGCTCAAAGACAAGTGCTCTTAATAATAACATAAACTCATCGATGATTCCAAAACGAACCCCAAGCGGTAACAGTTGTTTTTGAAGTAAGAGGTCAGGGATATCACATGCCTTGTATAACTCTGAGCGTACTCTCATGTCGGATGACACGGCTCGCGGTGCCGTGTTGAATGCTGCCTTTGCTCTGAAACTTGCTTACATCCGTGTGTGAAACCCTCCAGATGCGCCGTGCTACACAGTCGGGTCATTGAGCGAGCTGCGAGTCTCTGAGGCAACCGTGCAATCCGCGACAACTAAGGTCGGTCCCAACAGGACCTGCGGGACTGACAATACCAGCGTCCGCATAATGACCGATTGCGTGGACGAGTTAGCTGCCTCACTCACCAAGACCTGTAACCTCTCGGCGAGTCCTGGTGTCTTCCCGGGGAGGTGCAAGCAGGCAAACATTATACCTATTTTCAAGACAGGCGACACAAAGGAGCCAGCAAATTACGGAAGCATATCCCTGCTTCATCTCTTAGGAAATATACTAGAAGCGGGTTGCGTATGATGGGCTGTTCGGTCACGTCTCGCAGGTGATGTGCCATCGTCCGTGTGGTTTTAGTCTTAAGCGCTCGTGCGGCACAACATATGTGTTTGCCTAATTACACGGGTATACTAGATATTAGAGCGGGTTGCGTATGACGGGCTGTTCGGTCACGTCTCGCAGGTGATGTGCCATCGTCCGCGTGGTTTTAGTCTTAAGCGCTCGTGCGGCACAACATATGTGTTTGCCTAATTATACGGGTATACTAGATACTAGAACGGGTTGCGCATGCTCGGCTGTTCGGCCACGTCTGGCCGGTGACGTGCCATCGTCCGCGTGGTTTTAGTCTTAAGCGCTCGTGTGGCACAACATATGTGTTTGCCTAATTATACGGGTATAATAGATACTAGAACGGGTTGCGTATGCTCGGCTGTTCGGCCACGTCTGGCCGGTGATGTGCCATCGTCCGCGTGGTTTTAGTCTTAAGCGCTCGTGCGGCACAACATATGTGTTTGCCTGAAATCGGCCTGGGAGGCCATGTCAGACGGATACCAGACGGATGCCATTTCCAATGATTGCTCGGCTGGTTTTCAGAGCATTAACCATGAGCCTCTGATCCACAAGCTAAAATAATCATACCACTGGAGGGAATCTGCGCTGCAATGGCTTGTCTGGCATCTGTCCGTCAGACGTCCGGGGGTCATTGTCAACGGAAAAAAACTTCTGTTGGAAACTGATGACCTCCGGCGTCCCGGAAGGATCACTGTTGGTTCCCCTCCTGTTTTCACTGTTTGTTAGCGATCTTCCGTACGTCATCGAGTCTGGCTGTCCTTTGCATGCCGATGGCGTAAAACTTCCCGCAAAATTACGTCCCGGCGGATAGACTGCTACTGCGGTCTGTCGGTCATGGACGATCTCGGTCACGTGATAGCGTCGTCGGTTAGATGGGGGCTGACACTCAACCCCACAAAATGTAAAGCATTCACGATGAGCCTAAGGCGTACTCCCGTGCTTGCTATTTTCCTTGCTTGCGCCGCCTCGATCGACACCCCACCCGAACTCTGCCCGCTATACCTCACGCTCGTGTGCAAACAGTAGAGAGCAGTCTGTTTTGCAGACTGCCAAACGTCGTGAACATTTTCATGGCGAGCAACACTAACGCGGCTTTTTTCATGACATCTTTGCCATTTCTAGAGTTCAAGTGATCAAGAATGTTTTAACTCTTTAGTATCTTCACTTAGCTTTGAGATGTTATCCTTTAACATGCGCCCGGGTCGCCGGCTGGATACCCTTCGCTCGCGTGAGGGGGGTACCCCCCCTGAGATCTCGGCAACTAAGAAAGCTAGAGACACCAAATTCGCAGGATGTGTTAACCTGTACATAAACTCACATAGTTCAAAGTTTCAGGTTCCTGGGCCATGACCTTCGGGTCAAGTAAGGTCGAACAAGGTCAAATTCCAGGTTGGTCTCCAAAGTGCCCTCAGAACCTAGACAACCGTTTCTAAGAAAACATATCGCATGCTCATTTAAGGTCAGTGATCTTTTTTTGACCTTTTGAAGGTCACGGTGGCCAAAATCATACAAGATTGCTCCCAGTTTTGCAGTTGAATAGGCGACAAAGATTACGCTAGGCAGTATGTCCCTAAGAACAAAATGTTGACCAGGGTCATTTCAGGTCCATAACTTACTCTGACCTCTAAGAAGTCCATGGAAGATATATAATGCGGTTCCTGCTATCAGTAAATTCGAAATGAGCACCAGAAACTTTCCCATGCAGCAAGCCCTAGAGTAACAAAACGGGTTGGTTTTCACCTTGGTCTGACCTTTATACCTGACCTCAGATCAATGTAATTTGCTCATTCAACTGTTGTGTTGCCTGAGGAATCACCTCAGACATGTATGGCTTAGTCTAACACTCCGTTGTTGGATCAGATTGAAGGAGTTCCTTGAAATTGCCTTCACTGAAACCATGACCTGATTTTGACCTGCAATAGATCAGCGCCCTTACAAGGTAAATCTAAATTGTTGATGCCAAACGATCTGCTATTCAATTTTCGACAGCCATGCAAAATTTGATGCCGCTAAGCCGCACCGTTCGAAAACCATTTTGGAAAAACTTCGGGCTGGGGGGGTCAATTTGATACCCACCCGGAGGCGTGTTGGCAATGCTCATACAACTGTGTTGTGTACTTATTGTATTTCATTTAAACGACTTCGTCTGTTAGTTGAGTGCTACTTTGTTGGCGATAAATCAAAATAAACAAATAAACTTCCTTCCGTCGCCGCTTGTAGATCACACACGTGGCGCTCGGTGGCGCAGTAGATCACACGCGTGGTGCTCGGTGGCGAAATAGACCACGCGCGTGGCATGCAGTCTATGGCTACGACTTTCAATCTCACTCTCCCATCCTGGGGCTCACACTCCCACCCTGCGACTCTCTCACTCACCACTCTCTCGCCCTTTTACCTTGCAGCCTTTCACTCTTGCCCGTGACTCTCATCCTTTTGCCCAACGACTCCTTGTGATTCTCGGCACCAGCCTCTCACTCTCTCACCCTGTGACTCTCACCCTCCCATCCTGCAACTTTCACCCTCCCACCCCGTAAGTCTCGGCACCAGTCTCTCACTTTCTCACCCCACGCTTCTCACCTCACCTAGTCACCAAGCGCCCCTCACCTCATCCTCTCACCCTCCCCGTCGGCACCTCACCCTCTCACCCTCTCCGTGGGCTGCTCACCGTCTGCGGCGCCGGTGTCCACGAAGCTGTAGCGAACTCGGCCGCCGTCACCCTCGTCCCGGTCGGCGGCCGCCACGCGCACCACGTCCGTGCCTGGCAGCGCGTTCTCCGCCACCACGGCCGTGTAGCGGTCGGACGAGAACTTGGGCCGATTGTCGTTCTCGTCAACGACGATGATGGTCAGCTGGGCGGAGGAGGGGGAAGGGTCAGCACCAGACGGACCGCCGGCGGCCCGGCGCGTCACAGATGGTGGTCGCGTTTGGACATGGGGTGGACTGGACACCAGCTGAGTGGAGCTAGGATGACTTCGGGTGGTGTTGTTAAAAAGAAAAAGCAGGGCGTCGTAAACGGAACTTGGTGTTTAGTTTACGGAACTTGGTGTGTGTAGAGATCACACAAAATTGATTTTAAAAACGAGAAAGTCATACCTATTGATAGCATTATGACAACGTACATGGCATGTAAACGCAAAATCATCTGTCGTAAAAGTCACTCTATTCTGTTTTGTGTTTGGGTCCAATGAGAGCTCCATACATGGCAGCGCGCAACGCATACGACTGAGTGAAGATCATGGTATCACGGTCACCACGACCGTCTAGACGACAGCTGAAATCTAGACCTCAGCCTTCCTTCAGCCTGAGCTCCAGCCAATCCCAAACAATGCAGGGCACCTGAGCCACACGCTATTATCAGCCGACACCCACGGCCGGGGTCATCTCCGCTCTGCCTGCATCCAGCAGCCGTCGCCGCACGGCCGCAGCCGCACGCTGTCTCCACCGGCCGACAGCAGCCGACAACAGCCGACGGCATCTGACGGCAGCCGACGGCAGTAGCCGACCTTAGCAGACGGCAGCAGACGGCAGCCGACGGCATCTAACGGCGGCCGACAGCAGCCGACGGCAGCCGACGGTAGCCGACGGTATCTGACGGCAGCCGACAGTAACCGACGACAGCCGACGGCAGCCGACGGCATTTGACAGCAGCCGAGAGCAGTCGACGGCAGCCGACAGCAGCCGACGGCGGCCTCCGACCTC